TTTCTTTCTTATGCCTTTTAAAGGGTCTCTGCACTCTAGTTCATTAGGCTATTCCTTTATGGAATGCAAATTTATTTTGATTGTTTTGCTTGTTTGCATAAGGCAACTGGCTTTATCTCCTTCAATAGAAGGAGAGAGAGTCACTAACTCTTTATATAGTATTTCCTATGTGCCGGACATTAGTCTAAGGGCTTTACATAGATTAATTTATTCTCCACAATAACACTATGAGGAGATATTATTAATATATCTTAATAAAATTCCTGTCTTTCATATAAGAAAAGAGAGGTACAGGAGGCCAAGTAATGCCTAAGATTACAAAGCTAGTATAACCAAATTTGTAAGATTGGAAATGGAAAATACTAGAAAGATTCTATTGTCAGTAGAAACCTAGATGAATGGTGGCCCATAATATGAGCTCTCTTTTTTGCAAGGGAGTGCCTTGAAAATATGTTCTAAAACACTAGATTTTATCTATATAGCTCTATGGAATCCCAATCAATTTAGGATATATGGTTCTTCTGTAGCACGTAAATACTGATGAAAAATTATATTTATTAATGTTGGCCATCACTGGAATAAATAGGAAAGTCAGCTGTTATGCTTAGTTCAATGTTGATAACAAAACATTATTTTATTTTAGGATTGTGTAGGGCTGTTGACCCCACAGGGTCATGGGGTGTCCCTTCTGGTTTGCTGAGGTGCTGGATCTGAGAAATAAAGAGACAGGACACTGAAGAACTGGAGAAGAGCAGCTGGACTCAGGGGGCCACACCACCTATGAGAGGAGACAGGCGAGGCCCCGAATGTCCAGAAGCATCTGTATTAGGTACAAGGAGGTGGAAGAGTCATAAGTGAGGTCATCATCTACAGGCTTAGTGATAGGGCATACATAATCATGTGAGTAACAAGTGAGGGGGCCACCCCATTATGTTACCTGGGCAGAGAGGTGGGCCGTGCGTGGTAGGGGGCCATGCCATGTGCACTAGTAGAGGGTTGTGTACAGAAAGGGGGTCCTCTCCCATTAGGTTACTAAGCAGGGAGGTAGGCTGTGTGCAGCAGGTGTCGTGCACAATACTTCTTACCTGGGGGCTGGAGACTTCAAAGGATTTCTAATAGAAAGATACTGTAAGCCAATGCAGTGGGAGCTGACAGACTTGTGCTCTTCTCTAAGATATTTATGGGAGGCTGATTTGAGCTAGCACAGAAGCGAGAAAAGACTGACGGGGTATATAGCCGCCATGACCTGGTCACACCAGAGGCGTTCTTCTCCCTCGGTTATTTGCAGGATCTCAGGCCTGAGGCCTACTTTCCACAGGAAATGCATGCAAGGTACTACAACTCCTTTTTCAGGAGGAGAGGCTCTTGCTCCAAGCCTGCCATACAACTTATGCCCTTTCAGGCAGGGATGCCACCGCCTGGGTCTTTGGTTCTTGTCCTGGTCTGGCTGTTTTTCCATGTACTGCTTCTGCTCTGTGACTGCTCTAGGCATTCTTCCTACTACAAACTACTATGTGGTTATATAGAAGGATTATATAAGTCAGCACTAAATGTGTTGGTACAGCTCTGACTACAATACCTATAGGATTATATAGAAAGATTATGTGGAACTAGATATAAGTACTAAGTATGATTATATAAGCTAGATATATGTAAGCAGTAAGTTATACTTCAGGCATTAATTCTATAAACTAACATATGATTATATATAAAGGATTATATAAAGGAAATAGCTGAGTTATAACACTATAAACTAAGGTATTCTTCAGGTACTAATTGTGCCTGGGGTTTGCACAGCTCTCCTTCCTTCGTGCCCATGTTTTGGGGCTACCCACAGGATTGTATTTCCCCTAGGACAACAATAATAAAAATGTTTTTAGGAATGATGCTTCATCAGTTAAGAAAAATTATTGATAGAAGAGAATAATTTTTGTATGACTGATATATAATTTGTTATTTCTTAAATATCCAGTTATATAGGTATATTATCCATTTTTGCTCCCATATCGGTATTTGAAGTTAAATGAAAGTTGTCATTTATGTATCAGACATATACATATACATTTATATATCATTAAGTATAAAATCAACTCCAATTTGAGCGATTCACAATTTAAAGACTTTAATTTTAGTAACAATGATTATATGGTAAAAATTTGGACATTTAGATAATTATGGGAGGGCAGTTGTGCTTTAATGAAAACTTCATTAAATTAATAATACATTTATTTATTTATTTTGTTGCATTTGCCTTTGGGGTCTTAGTCATACATTTTTTACCTAGGGAATGTTGAGAATAGTTTTTTTTTGTAGGTTTTCTTCTAGAATTTTTCTGGTTTTAGGGCTTAGAGTTAAGTCTTTAATTCAGCTGGAGTTAATTTTTGTATAATGTGAGAGGGGGATCCAGTTTCATTCTTCTACATGTGGCTATCCACTTTTCCAAGCACCATTTATAGAATAGAGTATTCTTTCCCCAGTGTATTTTTTGTGTGCTTTGTCAGAGATCAGTTGGTTGTAAGTATGTGGCTTTATTTCTGGATGCTCTATTCTGTTTCATTGATCTATGTGTCTACTTTTATACAAGTACCATGCTGTTTTGGTTACTGTAGCCCTGTATTTATAGTGTAATTTGGAGTCAGGTAATGTGATGCCACCATATTTGTGCTTTTCGCCTAGGATTGCTTTGGCTACTCAGGCTCTTTTTTGATTCCATAAAAATTTTAGGATTTTATTTTCTAATTCTGTGAAAAATGATGTATTTTGATAGGAATTTCACTGAATCTGTAGATTGCTTTAGGCAGTATGGTCATTTTCACAATATCGATTCTTCCAATCTATGAGCATGGGATATTTTTCCATTTGTTTGTGTCATCTGTGATCGCTGCACAACCAAAGAAATAATTAGCAGAATAAACAGATGACCTTTAGAATGGGAGAAAATATTTGCAAAGCATACATCCAAAATAGGACTAATATCCAGAATCTACAAGGAACTCAAGAAAATTAGCAAGAAAAGAAAGCAAATAATCCCATGAAAAGGTAGGCAAATGACACGAACAAACACTTCTCAAAAGAAAACATACAAATGGCTAACAAATATATGAAAAAATGTTCAACATCATTAATCATCAAGGAAATGCAAATTAAAATCACAGCAAGATACCAGCATACCCCAGCGAGAATTGCCATTATTAGAAAGTCAAAAAACAATAGATGTTGGTAAGGGTATGGTGAAAAGCAAATGCTTATACCCTGCTGATGGAAGTTAAATTATTACAGTGTCTGTGGAAAACAGTATGGAGATTTCTCAAAGAATTAAAAATGGAACTACCATTTGATCCAGCAGTCCCACTACTGAATATCAAAAAGATACCTGCATGGGTATGTTTATCTCAGCACAGTTCACAATTGCAAAGATATGGCATGACTTCCGTGTCCATCAACTGATGAATAAATAAAAACATGTGGTGTGTATATATGTATACACACTGTCTGTCTGTCTGTCTGTCTGTCTGTCTGTCTGTCTGTCTATCTATCTATCTATCTATGTATCTATATCTATCTGTCTGTCTGTCTGTCTATCTACCTATCTATCTACACATGCATACACCATAGACTACTACTCAGACATAAAAAAGAATGAAATAATGTCTTTTGCAGCAACTTTTGATGGAACCAGAGACCATTATCCTAAGTGAAGTAACTCAAGAACAGAAAACCAAATACTGCATGTTCTCACTAATAAGAGGGAGATAAGCTATGAGTATGCAAAGGCATACAAAGAGACATAATGGATATTGGAGACTCAGGAGGTGAGGAATGGAAAATTATCTTTTGGGTACAATGTACACTATTCGGGTGATGGGTATGCTAAAAGCTGAGACTTCACCATTATGCTGTTCACCCATGTAACCAAAAACAACTTGTACTCCTAAAGCTATTGAAATTTAAAAAATTTAAAAACAGTAATACAAAGCTTATTTAGTATTACAGTGTTTAGAAACAATATATTTAAATAAAAGTTGAATAAATCACAACCACTAGACGCTTATGCTGATGAATGCTTTACATCAAAACATAAATAGTCACCACTTTGGACGTGAGTTAGTGGGGTGTGTGTGTGTGTGTGTGTGTGTGTGCGTGTGTGTGTGTGTGTGTGTGCGCGTGCGTGTGTGTGTGTGTGTGTAGTAAGTGGAGAATGTTGGGGAGGTGTATGATAGTGAACAGATTAATTTAACAGTGTAATTTTTCACAGTTGTATTTGTGTAGATATTCTAAATTCTATTATTGGTGTGCTTTGCTTTATGGACTAGATGTGTGCATTAAGGAAAATTACCTGAATGTCATGGTGTTAGTTCAAATGATTTATTCCAAGATACGTTCTTTAGTGAAGAGGGGAAATATAGTGGCTCACCAATGGCTTAAAGGAACTACAACAATAACATTTGTGTTAAAGTATCACAGAAAATAAATATAAAGTCTCACAACTATTTTTTAGAGACATAAATATCTATGGTTAGTTTTGCGTTTAGCACATTTGCTTGAAAGTTTAAAGGAAGGAGGGCAAATGAAGAGAACACACTGAATTGTTTGGTTACACAACTGCCGTAACCCCACTTTAAGGTTCTACGAGTGATGCTGGACAGCTCCCCTTGGTTGCCGTGATACCGTTTCCTAGCATTTCCTAGGAGCTATTGATTTAGGAATGAGATGATTGAACTTAATAAGGGGGGATTTAGGGCATGGATGAGGAAAATTCATTAAATATAGTAGCAACTGAATAAATTCACAAAAATATTAGCAATAGTAAATAATTGGGCAGACTATTTAGTGAAATAACATGACAGAGAGGGAGTAACAGCTTAGCATGTGTTTAGCAAGTGTTTTTATTTAAACCCTTTTTCCATTTTCATTAAGATTGAATTTATATTCTAAGGTATTATCAAATAAAGTAGCATGATGTCTTTTGTATTTTAAATTTTTTTCCTTACTCTTTCCAGGACTGAAGTGTGTATGCCTTTTGTGTGATTCTTCAAACTTTACCTGCCAAACAGAAGGAGCATGTTGGGCATCAGTCATGCTAACCAATGGAAGAGAACAGGTGATCAAATCCTGTGTCTCCCTTCCAGAACTGAATGCTCAAGTCTTCTGTCATAGTTCCAACAATATTACTAAAACTGAATGCTGCTTTACAGATTTTTGCAACAACATAACACTGCACCTTCCAACAGGTAAGGGGTTTATCTTTGTTCATTCCAAATTTAATTTTACTCTTGGGAAACTATAAGAATGGTAGAAATCAAACTGTCTTATGTTTCTTTAAATAAGAAAATCTGTTTTACAGTTCTCTTTTTAATTTTGGCTGGCAAAATTCTCTAGAGTCGAGCTGAGGTTGAGTTTTAAAAAACTGCACATCATTGTCAAAACATTGACAACAACATAACAATTTTGAAGAAATGTGTTCACGTGAATTGTATTTTTGAAATGATTAATGGACATAAAGTAAAATGTAAATTTTTATGGATTTTTAAAAAAGAAATTGAGATTGCTTCTTGGCTTTTTGGCTAAGATCATGTGTAAAAGAAATTGAGATATATACCAGGAAGAAAAAGAGCATAACTAAAAATAGCAGATTGCCAACTTTTATGGGGACAGAATCTTTTTTTCAGGGGTATCCTCTGCATATCTTCTTCATCTACCCACATTCAAGCAAGGGCACACCCTATAGAGACAGAAGCAGAATGGAATTCGACCTTTGATCATTGTTCAGATGTGTTTCTGTCTTTAGTCAAATTATACAGTGCTTTATCCTAATTTATAAGATGCTCAAAATCCTGATCTGGCCCTTTATCAGGAATCTGGGATCTGCAACTTTGAGAGATATTAACAGGCATGTAGTTCTGAATTTAAAACTAGTTTATGATGTGAAAATGGTCCTGCAGTTGAATTTCTTTAATATTTTTAATATAACAATAATTTAATGATTATCAGTACAGTTATATCTATACGGAGATACATATACCTCCTTACAAATTAACATTTTAAGGCAATGTTATGTAATCTCAGATGTTCATATGTCATCATATCAATATACCACTGAAGCACTTTTTACCTATTTTTAAAATAAACTAACTGCCTTTTAATTGAAAAACATTTATTTCATAAAATATAGTATCATGATCTCAAATTAAAAACCAGTTTACTTGCCCTAAATAGAAGATAACTATGTAAATAAACAAACAATGCTACTGCATTTCAGTTAGGTATTTTGCATTTTCTCTTTGTTTAAAGGAGAGAAGAAATAAGTGTAAAAGACATATTAGCAGGAAACGAGACTTTTTGATACAAAATAAAAAAAAAAAAGAAAAACTAAGAGAATAAGAGAAGGAATCATTATATGACTCAGTGCTGTTTAATATTATGTTTGTTTACCATCCCAATTCATCTCAGAAAAAGCTTTTAAAGTAATTCCATGTACTACTGCTAGTACTTGTCCCAATCCTTGGAAACACTGTTTTAAGGCATTATCATGTATACCGCAACTTCAAAAGTTATACTTGGCATATTTCATCCCTGAACGGTACTTGCAGTCATGGATTTTAGACCACACTTATTCTCTCTGTCTCAGATTCCATAGACTTCCTTGCTTTGGTAGTGATCTGGGATCTATTATGGACACTCGTTTCCTTACATTTTATCCCCCAGTTTATCTGTGCACCAGAGATACCCTAAAGTGAAGGCTCCTTATGTTTGATGGTCTTCTCCATAGCCAAATACAAAGGATTTTTGGGGTGAAAAGGAGAGTCTCCTCATTAGCTGTGGCAGTGACCTATAATGTGTCTTTCCAATAGGGAATGATCCTCAAGACTACATACTTTGACCTAAAAAAAGATATTAGAGGGCAAGATGTCTCTAATCTCGGGCAAATCAAAGGTACTTAGTGTAGCTAGAATGTAGCTCCTCCCCAGCCCAACTCTAAGTTCTGCCAAAGTACTGAGAGGTCTATATGTTCTACCCTTAAGTTAGTCAGGAACCGGTCTTTCTTTTTCAAAAATTAACTTTATTAAGGTCTAATTTAGGTATAAGAAAGTGTACACATTTTATTATTTATTTATTTATAAAAAATAGTTTATCAAGAATATATGTGATGAACAGTGGGAGGACAGCAGGTGATTTTTTTAATGTGCATATTGGTTGTCATTTAGGTAACTTCTTCTATAAAGTGTCTATTCAAGTGTTTATGAAAAATTGGGTTTTTTATCTCTTCTGGTTGAATATGAAGAGTTCTTTATATATTCTGAATACAAGTCCTTTATTAGATACATATATTGTGACTGTTTTCTTCCATTCTGTGGTTTGCCATTTTGTTTTCTTGAAGGTATTTTTTACAGAGCACAGAGTTGAAATTTTGTTGAAGTTTGATTTATCTTTTTTTAAAAAAATTATGGTAGTTAACTAGTTTCATGTCCTGAGTTTTTGTCTACTCAAAACTTATATATGTATATTTTTATGGTTTCTTCAAGAGGTTTTATTTCAGTTTTTATAGTTAGTTTCGATTTTTACATTTAGTTTCAACTTAATTTGTGTTATTATGTGAGGTTAAGGTGAAGTTTTATTTTTTCCATGTGGATATGAAGTTGTTCTAGGATCATTTATTGAAAGTCTATTCTTTATTCATTGAGTTATGGTGGCACTTTGGTTGAAAATAAAGTAATCTTATATATGTGGGTGTATTTCTGGCCTCTTCTATTTGATTGTTCTATATGTCTTCTATTACTGTCAAACTGTTTTGATTATTGTAGTTTTATAGTACGTATTGAAATCCAGTTTTGTGACTTCTCCAACTTTGTTTTCCCAAATTGATTTGCTTATGATAAGTCCTTTGCATTTTTATTTAAATTTTAGAATCCACTTGACAATTCCTACAAAAACACATGCTGAGATTTTGATTGAGTATATAGATTAATTTGCAGATAATAATCATGTTCATGTTCACAATATTGAACTTTTAATCCATGAACATAGTATTTTTTTTTACTTATTTAGTTCTGTAGTTACTCTTAACATGCTTTGTAGTTATCAGAGAACAGATTTTATAAATATTTTGTTGATTTTATCTCTAAGTAATGCATGCTTTTGATGCTATTGTGAATGGTATTTTTAACATCTCAATTTCTAAATATTAATTGCTAGTATATGATGATAAAATTAATTTTCCTTCTATTGAATTCATTATATACTGAAAGCTTGTGAAAATAAATTATAGACCAGGTGCAGTGGCTCACGCCAATAGTCCCAGAATTTTGGGAGGCCAAGGCGGGTGACTCACTTGAGGTTGTGAGTATGAAACCAGCCTAGCCAACATGGTGAAACCCCAATTCTACTGAAAATTAGCTGGGTATGGTGGTGCACGCCTGTGATCCCAGCTACTTGAGAGGCTGCTGGAACCTGGGAGGCGGAGGTTGCAGTGAGCCAAGATCACGCCACTGCACTCCAATCTGGATGATATACCGAGACTCCATCTCAAAGTATATATAATATATATATTATATATATACACACATATATGTTATTTATGATAGGTATACATTATCACATCATATATATGATATATATGTGTGTGTGTATATATATTAGCTCTAGTAGCTTTTTTCTAGATTCTTTGGCATTTTCTGCATATACAATCATCTTATCAATGAATATAGACCATAATTTATATCTTCCATTCTGATACATAGATAATACAGAATTTTCTTTCTTTTCTTTGTGTTTTTGCACTGGATGGAACCGCCAATATAATGATGAATAGGAGTGGTGAGAGTGAAGATCCTTGTCTTTTTCCTGATTCTAGGAGGAGTGCATTCATTCTTTTACTCTTAAGTATGATGTTAACTCTGGGTTTTTTGTAGATGCCTGTTATCAGTTGAGGAAATTTGCTTGTATTCCTAGTTTGGTGAAAATTTCTCTTTAAAATCATGAATGGATGTTAAATTTTTAAAACAAAGCTTCATGAGTTTATTGAGATTATCAAGTGATTTTTTTCTTTAGTCTCTTCATATGATGGATTGCATTAATTGGTTTTCAAATGTTATCTATAATAGGGAATATATGTATTGTCTGGCCACTAATTAATGTCTACAAGAAATGCTGTGTAACATTTAATTGAATTTAAGCTTCCTTTTAATTAATTTTTTTTTTTTAAAGACGGTACCTTGTTCCATGGCTCACTGCAGCCTTGAACTCCTGGGCTCAAATGGTCTTTCTACCTTAGCCTTCTGTATGTGTGACTACAGGAACATGCCACCACACCTGGCTAATTTCAAAAGAATTTTTTTTGAGATGGTGTCTGTCAGTATCGCCCAGGCTTATCTCAAACTCATGGCCTTAAGCAATCTTCCTCCCTCGGCCTCCCAAAATGTTGGCATTAGAGGCATGAGCTACTGCATATGGTGAGATGCAAACCTTTTTATTTGAAAACGCTGGGGACTTTCCGGCTGAGCACTGGATGATGTAGCTAGTGCCAATAACTCCACTGTTTCTGCGTCATCAGAGGGTGTGATTGACATCTCCCCCTCTGCCTGTAGGGATTTGTCAATTTCAAAGTGATCACAAAATAGGAAATACAGAAATGCACTCTGTAAAGTAGATAGTGTGATATTTCTACAGTGCTTGATAGTCTGCATCATGTCCATGTACTACACAGTAGAAGAAAGGTCGGGAGGTGACCAGAAGAGGTAGGACAAAATCTTGGACTTCCCTTTACAGTTTCATCTGAAAGCCAAGTGGATCCTTGCCTCTCTGGCTCTTTTATCAGTCACCCCAGATGGTGGGGTCATTTCTGGGTAGCTGACTTGATGTAAGTGCAGTAACTCAGTCTCGTGCTTCAGCTGGTCCTCTCTTCTGCACTTAGATCCTATTTGTAACAGTTGGACCTTTGCTTTATTTTTTTTGTGGTTACAAAATTTTTCTCCTGACTGTAGCTCATGACTCTCTTCCCCTAGTGGGTGTGTACCTTTACAGTGGGTTTTGCCTGTGAGCCCCCTAATCAGTCCCCCTCAATTCTTCTCACAATTCCTGCCTGATTTTGTGTAATTTTGGCTTTCTGTCTCTATTCAGCAATGTCTCTTAAACTCTTTTTTTCATATTTTCTAATTTTCGAATCATTGATGATTTCAATATCTACAGTCTCTGTGGGTTTGGTTTTGCTGTTTTTTATTCTGCTAAGTCATAT